TCACTGTTGGTGTATAGAAATGCCACTGATTTCTGTGCATTGATTTTATATCCTGCCACTTGACTGAATTCCTGTATGAGTTCTAGCAGTTTAGGGGTGGAGTCTTTTGGGTTTTCCACATAAAGTATCATATCATCTGCAAAGAGTGAGAGTTTCACTTCTTCTTTGCCGATTTGGATGCCTTTCATTTCTTTTTGTTGTCTGATTGCTGTGGCTGGGACTTCTAGTACTATGTTGAATAGCATTGGAGATAGTGAAACCTCTCCTATTTTAAAGCAGATGACTAGAATCGAAACTCTCAATGTCCGTCTCATAAAACAGAGGAGGTTTCAAATCTGACAAGTTATTCTGGCCCTTATCATCCGTGGGATAATATAGACAGAAGAACCCCTTTCCTAATATAAGTAACTTGGGGACTTTGGTAAAATACACATAGCATAAAATTTACCATTAGAAGCATTTTTAAGGATACAATTCAGTAGTGTTCAGTATATTCACATTGTGTGAAGCCAATTTCCAGAATTTTTTGATATTCATTAAACAACTTCCCATGGCCCCCCTCCCCCATAGCCTCTGGCAACTACCGGTTTACCTTCTCTATGAATTTGACCACTCTAGATACCTCATATAATACAGTTTGGCCCCAAAGCCCATGCTCTTTTCCACTAAGTACTTCATTGATTCATCTATCTGTTCATTCATTCAGGACACAGCATAGTCGAGGATGTGGGTAGGTCTGGGACAGGCCTGAACCCAGGTAGCTACTTAATGCTTCCTTGTTTTAGCTCCTACTGCTCCTTCTCCTTGGCCTGGAAGGCTCTTTTCCCTGTGTCTGTCTGGGGAACACCCATTTATAAGGAGCTCACGTACACGTGAGCTTCTTTCAAAAAGCTGCTGGACTCTATAGCCTCTAGTCTGACTTTTCTCTGCGGCGTGCTCTACTCCAAATCTATAGTTACTGGAATACTTTACTAAAATTCTTTGTTTATATGTAAGTTACTTGAGAACAAGAAATATATCGGGTCCATCTCTGCATGACCAGTACCTGGCATAGTATGGACAGATATGGGTGTTTGGTAAATGTTTGCTGGCTGATTGGATGTCCGCTCAGTTAGTACTGTGATTTTCTCCTGCTTACATCATTACATAAACCCTTACATGACTCAGAAACGCAAACAGATTTTATCACGCCAGGACTGAGCTAGAGAAGCACCTTTGTTACTTATTGTGAGCCATACCTGGGTCCCTTTCTCTAGCAAGGCTCAAACAGCCTCTGAAGTCTTCACTATCTTCCTAAACCTAAATAGAAATGAACCATCATTCTGCCTAAGAGCCACCTTGTTAGCTCTGGGACAACTAGCAAAGGCTGTGTTGGTCCCCTAACTGACCTTTCTTCAGCCTGGGCCCAGTGGTCCAGCAACCCTCCCTCCATACAGGTCTAGGGTTAGGAGGAGGCTCAGAAGGAAGGGAGGTGGGTGTCACTGCAGCTTCATCTTCTCTCCACTCCAGCCCCACATTATTATGTTTCCCAGGTGCCCTCACATGGGTTTTGAACATCACAGCCCAGCCCAGGAGAGGCCAACCCAGTGACTCTCTGGGGCTAGCTTCTGCTTACCTGGGGGACATTCCAGGTCATCAGTATGCTTCTAAACTCTGAGACTCTGTATTGAAAAAACCGTAGAGTTGAAAAACATGATGGCCTGGTCCTCCAGCTTCTCAGCCAGTGTCTGGGGTTGCAGATTTTTCTTGAAATCTGCGTTACCTCTCAATTGGAGCAGTTGCTGAGACTCAGCTAACAGGGAAATCAACTAGAAAAATGTAATAGAAAATACCATTCACGTTAACAACAAACACCTATCTAAGAATTAACCTAACAAAGGATGCATGAAAATTTTATGGAGAAAAAAATTAAAACTATCCATATCATACAAAAGGTCTTAACTAATAAGGAGATCAGCATTGTATGCTGGTGAGCCGCTGTGCAGAACTTAGAGCCACAAACTAGATGCGCTACAGCAGTGAGGGTGGGTCTTAAAACAGTGGTGACTGAAAAAACTATAAAAGCCTAAGGTTTATAATATAATACTCTTCCCTAAAATTACAAACAGACCAACTCTATATGGTTCAAGATCGATTCTGCATGGTACAGAGTGAGTGTCTATTTGGGTAAGGAGATTGGAGAGGCAAAACACAAAGTAAAAAAATAAAACAAGATTTTTCCTTCTGGGCTTGCACTCCTGCTGCAGACATTTCATTGCAGGGCCTAGGTATCGAGCAGTGCTGGACTGTTATTCCTTGAGAGAAGGGGGACAAAGGGGATGAGCCCTACAGTTGTTCCGGATTTCTGCCTGGAGACACTTTCTGAAATATGCATGGACGGGGAACCCGAGCTAAGCAGCTGATACCTCCTGGTTGAGGCGGCTGAAAATTTGTGGAGCCCCGAGAATTGGAGGGAGGGGTGGGAGAGAGAGCGAGAGAGCACCAGAAATGTGCATGGAAACCCCTCGAGTCTTGCCTGATACTATGAAGGGAAAAACTCGGTGAAGGAATGACTTGGGAAGCTGTGAGCTGAGCAACACCCAGAATTCATACAGGGCTGAGAGAAAGGTGAGTTCTGACCAGACAAGATAGAGAGTCCTCGTTGAAGGAGTTTGGTTGAGGCCCCCAAATTTTACACCTTAGTAATAGGACTAAGCGAACCTTAGAGAAAAGGTTGCTCCAGCCTTTCCTTAATGAAGCTTCAAAACGAGGCTCGGAAAGTATCAGATGGATCCACAAGTGGCCAGTCCGCCTCCCGGAAAAATTTCCAACACCTTTTAAAGAAAGA